TATTTTACCATGATATCCGAGCGCATCGATATTGGGTGTGAGAAATTCCTGCGAGCCGTGAAAGCTAATGTCATCGAAGCCCTAGAAGGTATAAAATAATATAGAGAAGCATGCTTAAAACTGCGTAGCTACAAATCTATTTAATACTACTTGGGCTGTTGATTTTTACGGCATACATATTGGGTATGCAAGTAAGTTAGGTTAGGTTATTCTGGCTGACCTTAAGAAGTCTCGCATGGACAAATAGAACACCCGTAGCGTTGCCAAACACGTTTACGACCCATGAAACAGTGCTTTAACATAATGTTGAAGAACATCGCCGCTCCTTTGGTAATTAGCTCCACAGTTTCTTCTTCCAATACTTTTTGTCTTCTATAAGACCTAATTTAAACGCATGTGCTGATAGCAAATAATGCCCTGTTTTCAATCCCATAAGAAGTCTTAAGTCTGTTCATCTTGAAGATAGAAATGTTTCTTGTCGTATGAACTACACATAGGGCTGGTTTCTCCAACTCAACTTAACTAAGTTTAGGCATTTTTTGGACTTAAGTCAAAAGTTAGCCTACATTTTATTCAGCTTATCCATGACTAAGTCCAAAAATTGTCTAAACAAAGTTAAGTTGAGACGAAGAAACCAGGCCATAATCTTTGCAAGTCTGCAACCCTCAGTTCTTTTCCAAAACCTGTCCGCTTTTCTGTACTTGAGCAGATCTCTGCCAATGCATGGATTCCGCATCAATAAACCTGCTCGTCTTTGGAGACAAAGAACCGTAAGGGAATTCTGCATCGACCGCAACAAATGGTAGTCTGATGGTGCAAAGTCTGGGTTTGTAAGGCGGGTGGGTTATGACTTCCCATCCGGTACCTTCGAAATAAGTTTTGACAACGTGTGCGTACGCCCGAGCATTGTCGTGGTAAAAGATCAGTGATTCACATCTGCTTCAAATGCATCATATGTTGTCGATCGACTGACCACCTTTCAGAAGATCATGACACCGGACTGACTGGTTTCACCAAATGCAGAACATTACCTCGCTGCCATTGAATATTTGGCTTTGGCATCGATATGCCTTCTGGCGCCTTGGATTGTGGCAATGAATAAATTTTTCTACGAAAAAACGACCTCGAACGAGCATTTGAGGCAACAATGGCTTGCAATCGCAATGAAATGCCTGGTTGACTGAGCTCTAATATTGCCACACAAGGTTTGGCACGTGCCTTCGTCCAAATTTGCCTCCAATTCGGCGTTTACAAACGTAGATGTCGTGTCTTTTGAAACGTCGAAACCAGTACTGATGGGTAGAAATTTATGGATCATGCTCTCGGTAAGCCTCGCACAGCAGCCGATAACTTCCTGCTGCACTTTTCTGCCGATGTAAGCAAAATACCGATGCTTCCCGCGAATCGAGTTTTCAGTTTGAAGTTGGCTGCAACTTTGTCCGGTGTGCTTAAACACTACAAGTACCCTCTGTTCACACTCCTTTAAAACCTATTTATATTTACCTGTCACTAAATTACTTACCAAATCATCAGCTAGTATGAAAATTATATGCGGTTTCTCGCCATCTTGCTTCACTGTGGCATCAGCAGCCACTAGATGATTATTGATTATTACATCAAAGCTGATTAGCGCGTAACCGAGCAGGTATTTCAATGCAAGCCAAAGCATAACAAATCGCGGTGACGTATTCGTACTGTACTTATTCGAGATTTAGTTTAATATGTACATAAGTACATTTATAATATTATCAGCACCCCAGCTTACTTTTGACAGCTTTGACTAGAAAACATATTAAAAATATATTCCTATTTGTTTTAATTTATTTTTAACTTTGTTTCTATTGGTTTCAGGTCATTAGCCCCTTAGGCGTATAGTAGACACTTGATACCACTGGCTACTCGACTACGACTGATTGCTCTATTGATCGTATTTTAATGCTAAGCGCCAATTTTGCGGCTTAAAAGCTTAGAAGGGAGAGCTTTGCTGATAAGCACGTATGTAAGTAGGTATGTTTGCACCTACACACTAATGTTAGAAATGTAGCTCTGAGATGTTAAGGTGTTGATTAATTGGCTCAAGAGAGATTTTAACCTGGAAGTAAAAAAATTCAGATCTTACTTTTTCGAGCTTAGGCCAGAAATATGTATCTCTTAAAATTTTTAAGCAGTAGCCGTTTCTAAAGAATGTTTTCTGACCAAGAGGGGGCAAAACCATAAGCTAACGATTAAATATGTTGTATTTATTTTCTGAAATTTGTTTGGTTTAAAGCCGAGGTTGGAAGAGCCTACGATGCTGAATCATGTACTGTTTCTGTGATGAAAAGTTATGAGTGGAATAAGATCGCGTGGGAGAAAAATGAATATGTACATATGATGTGATATCATTTATGTTCTGAGGCAGTACTAAACATTCTAGTAGTCCATGTTTAACTATTTCCAGTGATTGTTGAAAATTTTGTAATTCTAAATTACTGAATTTACTTAGTATAGACGAACTCCTCTTCCTACTATACTATACAAACGATCTGGTGATCTACGTAACAGGACTACAATAATAAAAAGGATGAATTCGCAAGCGAATCTAGATTAGGTTAAGATAAGTTATAGTGCTGAAAAGAGACCATTAATTTAGTCGGCCGCAAATCGAGCACGTAACCACGAATGCTGGTAATTTCAATGCCTGAGAGCTCCTCGGGGATAGTCAGGAAGTGCGAGCCAAAATGTTTACACCATAGCCCCGCGAAGGCTGGTCCGTCTAATCGAAAGTGTTGAGATTATTCCACCTCATCATCCTTTTAATAGCTGATACAGGAAGGTTCATATAGGATTCCCAAACTTACCGCGTGAATATCAATCCCACAATGGCCGAGCGGAACACCCACCAAAAGCGAGAGCTGAGGCTTTGTAAGCATAGGCTTTGACTGCCCCCGGTCCTACCCAGGCCAGAAAGATCATATAATTGCGCATGGCTTAGTTTAAGCCCAGCACTCGATGAGCGTACAAGAGGGCAGAGATATCCCCAACTGCTTTATACCCGGTGATAACGTCTCAAGGGTGCCTTTCCTTGCCAGGTCATTAGTTCATTTTTGACGGCGGCCAAGCATATACTCAACAACGTGGCATCTTCAAACTTGAAACATATTCTTTATAGATTGTGTACTTTTAAACACAGTGATATTCTTTAAACAAGCATCGCCATCTGTAGGTTAGACCGGGTACTTTTGAGACCACCGCCGTATAAACCTTTATCGAAATTCAATTAAAGTTTATAGATACATACTTTCCTGGCTAAAATCCGCGCTTTAGTATGTCTTTAGATGCAGGATTACAATAGCGAGCAATTTTTGAAAGTAATATAATGATTTCTCCTTTAATCGCATGGCCGACGCAGCATCTGAACCAGCTAAGGACAAGGGTCTACGGCGTGACCTTACGGTCTATTGGATACTCGGCTTATGCAACAACTATGGTTATGTGGTGATGTTAACCGCGGCACATGATATCTTTTCAGAGAACTTAAAATGGCAATTCTGTTGCTTCTAGGACCATGTACTTGCGAACGACGCCAGTGCAATAAAATGTCTACCTGCGCGGTGCTGTTAGCTGATATTATTCCATCATTTCTAGTGAAATTGCTGGCGCCATTTACGCCATTTTGGGTGCAGTAAGTTGATACAATTTGAAAATAATTCGCATAATTTTTCGTTGACATTTAACAGCACGCGCATCGGTCTGGCTGTTGGTCTAACGGTGTTCAGTTTTATAACAGTCTCACTAGCAACAGTTTCAATAAGCAAGTAATGCTACAAGGACTTGGCTTACATCTAGTTATATACGTATCTATGTTATGTACATACATATATTCCGCCATCTAAAGGAATGTTGAAAAACCTAACGAATAACGAAAAACTAAATTTCATCGTCGCCAATATGCAATTGGTCTGGTGGCTCAAGCGGATTCTTATGGCGTTGTAGCTGCAGGAGTGCTAGCGATTCCCGTTCATAATGCCATTTATGAGTTCGAGGCGAAAAAGCGTCGTTTGTGGGGAAGTAGTTAGGAGTACTTTGGAACAATACCCGTGAAAACAAGTGAGAGATATTATGGCCTATCAAGGCACAGCGAAATGATTTTTAATAATTTAATCACGTTTAGTGTATACTTGAAATTTTACAATACCTTTTTTGAAAAAAAAATATATATATTAAGGACTAATCTACACTCGACCACATCCTCGAAATTCGTCTTCTTACTCTATCAACTAAAAAAATAAAATTAATTAAAAGGACATTTTCAATACCTGCTCGTTCTGCTTTGTGTGTTTTGAAGAAGGTTGCCACCTGTTTGAAAAGTTGAATTAAATTCAAACATACACGAGTTCTATGGAAATACGGTTATCAGGCGGCTCGTCTTGGGAAGGAGGAGTTTCATACAGGGACCCGGACTTTTGTAACTTGTATAATAAAAGTCCCTAGAAAAAAGTTATCATTGGACTTTTATTTTATTTGAAATAAAATAATCGGTTAACACGGACTTTTATTTGTTTAGTCCAGTAATAACTGGATAAACAAACTGCTTATCCAAATCAAACAATTTGGTATCAAATGGAAGAGGCCTGAATAGCTGTCAAACAGAAATATCTAAATGAAGGTTGCCACCTATTTATGTATAGTTTTTTCAGTTGANTCAAGTTCAACAGTTATTACTAGAAGCTCGAATTTTTCAGTCATTATTGGACTTTTTTCCAAAAAGTTCGAAAAGTTGAAGGAATCCGGAATCTTTGTCCAGGAGGTCCTGTGATCAGGGGAACGACAATATTTTTCCCGGACT